TGCTGCGGCACTCCTTAATATCTCTTGGAAAAGCAGCACAGTAAGCTGTAAGCAATCCAGGAGACTCTTGAAGAGTGTTGAGGGTGATTTCTTAATCCAGGTGACAAACAGCTTGATCAGAGGAGAAGTATCAACAGGGATGAACTATTAGGGATGACAAAACTGGTGATAGCTCTGACTGCAGCCATCCTGCCCTGGTGGAAATCAGTGCTGAACACCTCTCCTGTGAAGAAAGACTGAGAGAGTTGGGGTTCTTCAGTCTGGAGAAGAGAAGGCTTCAGGGAGACCTTATTGCTGTCCTTTAGTTTATAAGAAATACCGAGAAAGACTTTTTACTGAGGCGTGGAGTGATAAGAGAAAGGGCATCGGTTTTAAACCAAAAGAGACTGAACTTAAATTAAATGTACAGAGGATTTTTTTAAATGATTAAAATGGTTATGAACAGGTCCAGAGAAGTTGTGGATGCCCCATGATGGAAGTATTTGAAGTCAGGAAAGATGGGGCTTTGAGTAACCTCATGTGGTGGAAAGTTCCCTTCCCACAGCAGGGGCTTTGGACTGGATCATCTTTAAAGGTCCCTCCCAACCCAATTCATTCTATTTCTATGATAAACTGTAAACATTTTAGATTTTGTGATTTACTTCCATGATGAATGGATTTTTTTTTTAATGGGGACTATTTTTCCTTCCCTAATAATGTTTTTTTAATAAGATTATAATGTTTGATTATAAGACTATACTTGTTTTGATGGTGGTTAAGGTATAAACCAATAAAAACAAGGAAAATCCCATAATGGACCTGCACTCTGGATCCTCCTTAGCTATACACATGCTCATTCCCAGAAATACTAACTTTTCCATAAACATGGACACACACACACACACACACACACAGAGCATTTATTAAGCCCAAACAGCAAAGTGGTTTTATGCTTGAGATGAAAACTTTCAAATACATAGCCTATAAATAGATGATATGCTGCCTTTCTGGTTCAGTAAATAGCCTGAAAAAGTGCTCTCAGGAGACATGAATTTGCAGTGTCCCCCCTTTATTTCACGGAGAGGTTAATTCTGCTGTCTAAATGTAATACTTTATTGTCAGTACGGAAATTGCCATCACGAGGGAAGCAATTGCACTTTCTGCATTTCTTTAGGGATCGGGAAATCACTCTGCACAGAAAGAAAACAGCCGCATTTCTCCTCAGGTGCAGAAGGAAGCAGCAGGTTACTTGACATGAAAAGCACTGGGAACTTGTGCAATGGCCAGTACACAAACCACCAACAAGCCTAGACAGGTTGGATATGACAAAATAGAAAATCACACTGGATGTATCCTGCAGACACTGCTGCCCCTAGAACTGGGACACTGCTTGGAGCCGCCAGCGAGAAAATGGCTCAGGAGTATCTCACAGAGATGAATTCAAATAAAACTTTTCCAGCCCTCAATGGTACACTTGTTTCAGGTTCTCGAGTAGTTTAATTCTCAGTCACTTTTGTATTGATAGTAAATCTGAAAGTGCAAAACAAAAAGTGGCTCCATGACCCACGGGCAGAGCCCATTCCATTGGATCCCTCATTCCAGAGGCACCTGCATGTGAGAAACTTTTTGCAGCTTTTCCAGCCATTGCTGGAGATAGGACAACCTCCTCCCTGTGTAATAAACAGATTTCTCTTGCTGTCTTTCCCCCATCCTGCACACCACAAACATGGCCCAGCAGAAGTATTTTCAAGCACAAACACGCACAGAAGGACTTAATGGTTTGTGTTGTTATACCCAACCCCCATGAATTTATGCTCATGTAATTACTGCTCTCTGTTTGCCTACTGATAGTGAGTTAAAAATACCACACACACCCCAAATTAGAACTGGTTTCTATTTTTGTTAAATTCCTGCAGTTGATATAGAAGAAAATGTTGTGATGAGCCACATGAGATCCCTCTTGCCTGCACTAGTTAGGACACGAGACTGCAACGCTACCAACAGAAAAACCCCACCAAAAGCATGGCATGCACAGATCTATACAAATTTGACTGTTATGATGGCATCAGTCCTGTATCCCTTTTCCTTTCTTCATCTGATGCTTGGTGTTTCTACAGTGGGAATGGATTTGAGCTGGGATCTTTTCTATCAGAGCCTGCATTTAAATGCAGTGTAAAATCTTTCTGCAATATCCAGATTCCTAGTTTGTAGTCCGAGGTACTCCTAACTTAGACTAAACATAAGATATTTCTCTTATTTAAATAAAATGTAAAATGATATGCAAGTCATTTCTGTTCTATCCAAATTCCTAATTTATACTCCAAGGTGTCTCTCATTTACCATTGATGAAACACTTATTTTTGAAGTCTTTGAAAGAACATAAAATTAATCTAACGTTAAAAAAACAACAACAATTTTCCAACTTATATTCACTTTGTAAAATCTTTGTCATATGACTCATCTCTTTATCACATACAAGTACTATATTTGCCATTTAAGCTTCTGAGTCTCTATTTTTAAAAGCTTTGTGGAAGGAATTGTCTGGAAATCCCATAAGGTCAACCCCTTCCCAAGCAAAACTAGTTAGACTGAGTTTTCCAGGGCCTGTTTGAGGTGGTAAAGTCAGGACATGCACACAGTTTCCCCTTCACTTCTGATAGGCTTCTCTGAGAAAATAACATTGCACAAAAACCCACCCCAGGCTGTTAATGTATTTTGAATTTTGCATCAATAACAGAGAGAAATAGCTTATATGTGAGACCAGGCAAAGCTTCAGCTGGCAGCCACTGGAGACAGAAACTGCATTAGAAAAAAAGAACTCATCTAAAGCTGCATTCTTGTCAATATCCTCTCGCACTTTTACAGCAGCAGAGACAATACCAAATGCAAACATGCTCCTCCCCACTGCTCAGGCCTGGATCATCACAGAGAGCCTGGGATAAGCAGATGAACATTTGGCTAAGGACCAAGGAGCAGATTTTCCTCTTTTTTTAGATATTGAAAAGCCAAGACACAATCAAGGTCCCAGAAGGATTTCCAGAAGTGATAAGGGGCCCAAGTTCTGTGAGTCCATTGGTGCTTCTGAAAATCCTGTATAGTAGCAAATGAACTGCATCACTGAACATCAAAATACCTCTGTGGTTGTGCTGCTTCTGCTAGGGACCTTGATTTCAGAAGAGCAAAGCCTTTATCTTGAAAAGGTTAGAAATTTCTTCCCCTTCTTTAGTTCACCTACCTTCCCCCAAAATGGGAAAGCTTATCCTCTTCTTGCTTAATAAAATTGTTACTCCCCTATGAACTATTTTAACTGAAATTGTAAGATCAGCACTCACTCCCCTGGCTGTGGCCACACAGATCTTTGCTTTACAGAGAACAATTTGCTTTCATTTGATTGAGGTTTACCTAGCACAGATTTCACTGCAATGCCTCTCTGATCTGATAGTGCAGAGTTGCAGGGTCTTTTTTTTTTGGGCAGAAATCCCTCTTGGAATGGTAAGTGACACAAAGGTTGCAGTGTCCATCCTGGTGCCCTCAGATGGTGGTGGGCCAAACACTGCCCCCTCTATTTACACATCTCTACTGACAGGAATTGTGCTGACCAGGTGGGACCTTGGGACTGCTGTTCATACACATTTTGTCCTCAGAAATGTGATACCAATCTATTGCACAAAGACTGCAAAAGAATTGCACTGTTTTTTTTTTTTTCTTTTTGCTTTATAGAAGAAAGTGTTCCCTCGGTGTGATAGATACTGAACATGACTTTTGCTCAGGCTGCAAATAGCAAATTACTGAATCATCAACTATTTAAGTACCTGTTTGTTTTGTCATGAAGTGAAACTTGCGAGCAAGATTGTATTACATGTAATGTGGCTTCTTGCATCCTAAATACTAATCCTCAAGTAAAAACAAATTAAAGATAGTCCCAGGGTCACTTTAGTAAGTCTGAGTTGATGCATCCCACTCTCTTGTATCCCACATTAAATGTTCTTTGCCTTGTCTTTGTGCCAACACCAACATTTTTGCAGCCTCTGAATGACTTGGCAGAAGGATGGGGATGGGGATGGGGATGGGAATGGGGATGGGGATGGGGATGTAAGCTGGCAGAGACCCACTCCTGGGAGGGCACAGGAGCCACTGGCAGCAGGAACAGGGCTGGAAGGTACGGCGAGCCCTGCCAGGGAGAGGGGCTTGATAAGGACCTGTGATCATAGGATGGAGATGATAGGAAATGTTAAAGGGGCAATTGTGAAACGGGAGAAGCCCCTGAAAAGGAAAAAGCATGGAAACATGGGGTAGTGGAGACTCAAGGTAGAGGAGAAAGAGTGGGACTCCGCAGGGGACTGTGCAAGAAACAGGGATGTGAAAGGGAGGGCAGGAGCAGGAGCGGCAGGCGGGAAGCCACAGGAAGGGAAGGGAGGAGAGCCGCCGGGGCTGGGGTGTGCGGGCACAGGCAGGGACCAGGTGTGTGGAGCGGGGAGCCGAGACGGGACGGGCCTGGCAGAGAGCGAGGGCTGAAGAGGGCGCTGCTCCCGCCCAGCGCCTGGTACGGCCGGTGCCGGGAGCGAAGGACGCGGTCCCGCCCCGAGTGCCCGGCCCGGGGCTCCGCACCCGCGAGGCGCCGCCGGGCGGGAGCCCCGGGGGAGGGGGCGCCGGGCCGGCCCTGGCGCCCCTCAGCCGCCGTGGAACCCGCCCGCTGCGGCCGCCCCCGGGGAGGGGCAGCGGCTCGGCCCGGCCTCCGCCGGCTGCGAAGGGCGCCCGGCCGGGAGGCGGAGGCGCCGCTGACGGGCCGGGGGCCGGGGCCGCCCGCTCGGATCGGCGCCGCCCGCCCGGGCGGGCCCGGGGCCGCCCCCTCCTCCTGCCCGCAGCGCATTCGCCGCGGGGCCCCTCTCCTGTGACGTCAGCGCCGCCTAAAAAAGCGCCCCGGCAGGCAGGCAGGGCACGGCTGGGCAGCGGCCGCAGCGGCGACAGCGGCCACACCAGCAGCAGCAGCAGCAGCAGCAGCAGCGCGCCCCGCCGCCGACATGGTGTCCCCCGTCACCGTGGTGAGTGCGGGCCGCGCGGCGGGGGGACGGGCGGGCGGCGGGGCCCGCGCCCCCTCCCACCAGCTCCCGGCCGCTGTCCCCGCTCCCGGCCGGTGCTCTCCCACCCGCTCCCCGGGCGCTGTCCCCGAGCCGCCGGCAGCCCCGGCACCGGCGGCCACCCCCGCCCCCCGCGATGCTCACCCCGGCCTCCCGCGGCAGCTGTTGCTCCAGCGGTGCGCCTGCCCCGGCGGGTCTCCGCCGCGTCCTCCTCTTGTCCTGTCTGTTTTTAAACACATCCACGGCACATCTGCTCTACGTGCGCTGCATTTGCTCAGAGCGGCGCTGCCCCGGCTGCCCTGGGCTCGCGTCGCGGCAGTGCCCGGCAGCATCCTCCTGTCCCCGCGGCCTCCCTTGCCCTCGCAGGCACCTCTGCCTCGCCATCCGAGGTGCTTTGCTGTCCAGGTGCTGGTTTGGGCTGAGGCGTGTGTGGTGACCCCCGTGTGGGACAGACCTTTCCGTAGGTTGGGTGACCTCTCGCCGCGACCGCGTCTCGTCTGCAAGTCAGTCTGGCACTTCCACCGCCTAACGACGTGAGACTGGGACCGGTGTCACCTGCCTGTCTCATGGGGTGTCACGATGCTTAGTTAACATAAGCAGCAATAAGATAGCAACTCGCTGTTGTCCTGTCAGTCGGTGATGTGTGCAGCATAATTCTTGGATTGATGGAACCAAGCTGGTAACTGAAGGAGCTGTGGCTTGTGCCAGCAATAGGAGGAACTGCCCCTGCAGGTGAACGGGGCTGTTTCATTGCTGAAAAAACTGCCCAACAGCAGAGAAGCTGCACTGTTAGACACGCTGCTTTGCATGTTTGCCTTTCTAGAAAGTGAGGGATTTGCTGGAATACCCCAGCAGACTTAACACATGCTGTAAGGATAACTGTTGGTGGGAAAGTTTCCTGGTGCTTTGCTGCAGCGCTGAACACCTACTGCTGGTGTCCTTGTTTCCTGTGGATCCATTCTCATCTTGTTTTGAAATTCTTTGGTTAAGGGCCAGGCTATTGCAAACTCTCTGGCAGGTAGAAATCTTGTCCTGATCTTAACTCAGAAAGCTGGCGTTCAAAACTGTTAAATTGCTTTGCCAGTTCGGCACTGCAGGCTGTATTTTCTGTTAGTTTGGATGAATTTTCCCCCAGTTATCAACATGTACCTGGTAAGTTCATCAGCAGCCTGGGGATGACTTTTATCTCTAGTGACAGAGGGAAGTAGCTTGGAAATTATAACATTGTACTGCCAAACTTTTTTTTTGTGTGTGTTTTTCCAAAACAGTTTAAAAGGCTTGGTATCTTTGTGCTTCTGTGCCATAAACTAAATTTGTCCTTCAGTAATACTTTTGGTTATAGTGAATTGTTTATGTGTATCTTGGAAGTAAAATCTCATGTTGGGACAGTACTGGAATGGCTCAGAAACTGACAGGATTTGTTTCACAGTTTGCAGAAGGCAGTACTTGGTTGTTGTGATAGTGCATCCAGGGTGGTCTTGCAGAGTGTTATTTCAACCGAGTTTTGAGGCAAATGACTAAAGCACGAGTACGTGTTGGGAAGGGTGTATGGAGTTCAGACCGGAAGGCTTTAGGAAGGTAAACTGGGGAGGAAAATGAAAAAAGCCTTATTTTCTCACGTGCCCTTCTGACATGTAACAAAGCACATTTCTGCTCTGGCTGTATCCCTGACATGTGAACAATTTCCTTCTCCAAAGGCAGCTAATGCAGGTGTGAAACTATGGGGAACTGGAGGGATGATAAGACCAGGAGCTGTGACCAGAGCTGCAGCTATTTGCCATTGCTGTGGAGGTGAGAGGGGAGGGCGACTGATCCTCCACACAGCTCACAAAAAAAGAGCTGCAAGCCTTCAGTGTTCTGAGGAGCAATTTTCTGCACCGCTCTGTTGGTGCTTGTCATGTTGCTGTTCCTCTGAAGGAGGGCACGGTGCTGCTCCATGCCGGCTGTGCCACGGCCGGGAAGGGCGGCTGGAATCGGTGTCACACAGCAATCTGGGCTGCCCAGGAGTGTGGTGTGGCCCTTGTACAGCTGGGGGTCAGGAGCAGGATGGCTCCACAGCTGGTGGGCTCCCTCCAGCAAGTCTCTTGCTGAAGGGAAGGGCAGTGGCCATCGGTCTGGCCACAGCTGGGTGCTCGCCCAGGGGCCCAGCCCTTATCTCTGTACTGCACTGCCTTTGCTTTGGATCTTTGGAGCCAGCGTGGATATCGCTGCAATGACATGATGGGGAGATTCTCTGGAGGGGCAGCACCTGAGGCATAATCAAACTAGCCAGAGGAATTGATTTGTCTGTAGTGTATATCCTCTACCAGCACACTGCAGCATCAGCTTCAATGGGGAGAACACTAGAAGAGCACTTCTGAGAGTGACAGGATTTTTCTTGCTGCTCTCAAAGTGATGGCCTTTGTACAGTACTGCAGCCGGTGGCCCTGGTTGCTTACACACAACCTACTCTCCTGCATCTCCCCTTCTTTTCTTCCTTAGGACAGTTTTAACAAGAGTCAAAACCCCTGAGCTCTGTCTGCTGTGCAACCAATAGCGGGAAGGAACCATGCAAGGAGGCACGGTCCATGGAGAGGACCAGGCCAGGACTGCTTGTTTATGCTGCTTGCCAGATGTGCATCATTGCCTAGAGGGCTTGGAATGTTCACCCAGTGCGCACAGAGAGACCACAGCATTGTGCAGAGCTCATCAAGCTGTGGTCTCTGATGATGCACAATTCCTATGTGCTGAGTGGGGAGCATGCCCACAAATAAACAAGTCTGGTGGCAAAGTACCTTTTAACATATTGTGCCAGGTCCTCAGTTGGGATAAAGCTCTGGAGTCCTGCTGATGTTAGTCTAGACTTGCATGGCGTTGGGCTGTGGCAGGGAAGATGCATTTGTCTGCCATCCTGTTCCATCTGGTGAGCAATGCTCACTCTGGTTGGAAGTCACCTTGAAGGGAAGCTTTCACTGCTTACTCTGCTAGGCAAGCAGGAGTGTCCTGCTTCAAAATTGTTATTCTTGATACTGCTCTGATTAAGAGCTGTTTTTTCTGCATAAAGACATGTGGGCTGAGAGCCTGCAGTTGGAGCACTGTATTGATAAACAGCATGTTTGCTTCGTGGATATGTGAGGTTTAATTCCATTTTTGTTCGGTCATCACTGATCCCACCTTAATAAAAGAGCACTCGTTAGTGATTTTTGTCCAGCTCCCCCCACACCCAACACTGTTGCCTAAGTAGTTTTTAGTGTGAGCTTGTGGGAGATAGCTCTTGCCCTAAGGACCTTTCTGCCCAGCAGGCACCATGACTGCAGCAGCCACAAGTGTGCAGGAGATGAGCCTGGAGACATGCAGTCATTCTGACATTTACATAATGCTTCTTGCTCGAAGGGACCCTATTTTGTCCCTCAAGTTAGGACTAAACTTAGTGTAGAGCTTCACAGCACTTTGAGGAAAACAGGGCATGGGAAATACAGATATTAGTTGGCTGAGGGTAGATCTCTTTGGGGGAAGTTATAGATGATATTGGGTGTGTCTTTTAGAACAAGATAAACAAGGGCTCTCATCCCTACAACATTCCCTCCATGCCTGACTTGTACTTGACCTAGCACAGCCCTCTGTTTGGGAGACAGGTGAAACACTCTTTGGGACAGATTATTGCCCAGAGTCCATATGTTAACAATCCCCATCCCTTCCCTTTCGTCCTCTGGTCTGTTTGCATCTTTAAACAGAGATAGCTGGGTTGGGAAAGGGTATATTGTTTTGACTGCATGAAGGCAATGGAGCCCTCAGCCCCATCCCTTCTGGGTGGGAAGCAGCAGCACCCTCCTGAGAGCAGCCCTTGTCAGCCCTCGGGAAAGATGCAGGATGCCACTGGGACAGAGTATAAAAGTGACTTGCAAAAACTGGGCAAAGTACCTGAAAGGTACAGTCTGGAAAGATATTCACCAGCAAGAAATATGGAATTGGGCTGGAGGACTGGGTGGGTATCATTTGTGTTTCTGAACAGATCCAGATGGGTATGGAAACCTGATGTAACTCATGTTGCTTAGATACTCTGCACTGTGGGCAATTGTAGCAGCAGTAGGTCGAAGCATAGCTTTTAAGATTTATTATTAGGAAGGGTGCTCCGTAATCCTCAAACTTCTGCTGAAAGCAAGAAAGCCAGATCACTCTGGAACTGTTTCAGCTTTTGCCTCTTACAGAGAGGGTGTATTGTTTCTGCATTAATGAATGAAATGTTAGGAACCATCTAAGTTAGAAGTAACTTTTAGGGTTAATTTTGCTTGTTCTCTATTTCTATGCAACATTGATGCTTTCATTGTAATTTCCCCCATTACTTAAATGCATCATAAATTGGGATTGTATTGTGCAGGAGCTTGTAGACATGCACATTTATATAGTGCATAAATAACTATGGCACTACTATAAAAACCAAGTCAATGTAAGTGAAAGATAGAAAATATTTCTAAGCATCTGAGCTCACTGAAAAGAGGGAATAATCATCTTGGGAAAACTTAGCTGGATCTTAGTAACATTTATGTCAGTCCCACCTTTTGGGAGAAGCCTAAAAACTTTGGTCTGAGCAGAAAAGCTGTGCTGATTTATGCCAGCTAAAGCCCAGGCATAGTGTTACGTGCCACGATTTATTTTTTCAGACTGAACTTGTGCATTCTTGCTGTGACATTGACATTCTTTGCTGGAGCTGTTGCTAGGGGAGGGTGGGCTAGTGGAGCCTGCAAAGTGCAGGCTTCTCTCACGCTCTCCCCAGTGCCAGGGAGGGAGCATTAAGCAGGCAGTGCTGATGATCACTGCTGCAGGCAGTGCTGTGGATTAAAGGCTTCATTAACCCAAGTGTATCACTCAAGGCACGCGCTTCTGTTGTTCAAAGTGTGCTCCGAGCGTTCAGATAGTGGGTGCAGCTCAGAAGTCTGTACTTCCACATAATTCCTCTGGAAGGACAGAGGTGCATTTGTTCCGTT